TTGACAGTTGCCCGTTATCTTTTAATGGGTTTTTTCGTTTTTATCTTGTTATTTTTGGCTGGGGTTCTGCTCCAAATTTCCAAGCTAATAGTCTGCGTACGTGTGCTGCTTCTCCTTTCACTGTCCATTCACCGGCTGGTGGCAGGTCCACGACCGCCTGGCATCAGGCACTGGCCATCAGTCTGGGGACATCTAGCGGCACCAACCATTACCACTGGATTGACGTGGACCGTTGCCCGTTATCTTTTAATGGGTTTTTTTTGTTTTTATCTTGTTATTTTTGGCTGGGGTTCTGCTGCAAGTTGTCAAGCTAAGAGTCGGCGTACGTGTACTGCGTCTTTAACCTACATTTTCTATATAAATCAGTGTCGCTGGGTGTTTATAGAGTATTTTGTGATATGTTAACACGGTGTATAAATATTGCAGCGCGTGAGAAGTGCCGAGTTAGGAAATGTCAAGCCGCCAGTCCTGTGTTTTCCAAGAAAAACTTGCCGTATGTTACAAACACAGGGAGGGGGCTATGGAAAATATACTGCGGAGGGGAAGAAGCGGTGCAGCGCTGCGATGTCTGGGTGCCGTGTGCCTGGAATCCTGCAATGTGTTTAATGACCTGGCACACATCTAATAAAACACGGCGTGCAGCGCGGACTGTCAGACACGGCCTGTTATTGATTCCTCGGGACACAGCAAGGAGACTCGGAGCCCGAGGCCCCTATCTGTACCTCCCCATGTTGGTACTGTGTGGGGGGGGGTTGTTGCTCGCTGCTACACTCCCTGTAAACCCATAGGACGGGTTGTACAACAATGTAGCATGCAAGGATGCAAGAAGAGGCAGATTAATGCTTGCTTGAAACTATCTGAAAATGCTAGCCGCCAGGCTGTTGTGCTGACCCTTGACATAGTGTGGTGTATATAGGTTTTGTGCTGCCCTAGGCAACACAAAAATCGTTTGCCCCCCGGCGACACTGACCAAACACCCCCCTCTACATACACATCAAGCAGCCCACAGCCTCTCTTGGATCCCACCTGGTCCCCGTGCTGTGTCCCTTCTTTCTTTCCCCCCTGAAAAATGCTGCTGCCTCCCTGAAAAATGCTGCCCTAGGCAAATGCCTTGTGGTAAATACAACCCGGGTTCAGTAGTTTCGAATTTGGGGCTGTAGTACCTAGTGAATCAGATGAATCCCCTTCTTTCATCCCTTCTTCTGGTGGAAGGTGCCGCCCCCCTTGAAAAATGCTGCCCTAGGCAAGTGCCTTGTTTGCCTTATGGTAAATATGCCCCTGCCTTGACATTTCTCACTTTTCTCTTAGGAAAGGCCTACTCGGAGAGGTCTAGTTATAAAACATTTGTTGCGCGAATGTCAGAAGCATTCGTGCAAGTTGAACAAAATGTCCTGTATTTTTTCTAATAGATTATTATTACAGGTACTTATATAGTGCCATCAATTTACGCAGTGCTTTACATATATATTTGTACATTCACATCAGTCCCTAACCCTCAAGGGGCGTACAATCCAAGGTCCCTAACCCTCAAGGGGCATACAATCTAAGGTCCCTAACCCTCAAGGGGCGTACAATCTAAGGTCCCTAACCTTCAAGGGGCGTACAATCTAAGGTCCCTAACCCTCAAGGGGTGTATAATCTAAGGTCCCTAACCCTCAAGGGGTGTACAATCTAAGGTCCCTAACCCTCAAGGAGCGTACAATCTAAGGTCCCTAACCCTCAAGGGGCGTACAATCTAAGGTCCCTAACCCTCAAGGGGCGTACAATCTAAGGTCCCTAACCCTCAAGGGGCGTACAATCTAAGGTCCCTAACCCTCAAGGGGCGTACAATCTAAGGTCCCTAACCCTCAAGGAGCCCTACAATCTAAGGTCCCTAACCCTCAAGGGGGCCTACAATCTAAGGTCCCTAACCCTCAAGGGGGTGTACAATCTAAGGTCCCTAACTTACATACACATACTGGGGCCAATTTAGACAGGATCCAATTCACCTACCAGCAACTCTTTGGAGTGTAGGAGGAAACCAGAGTACCCGGAGGAAACCCACGCAGGCGCAGGGAGAACATGCAAACTCCAGGCAGGTGATGCCGTGGTTGGGATTCGAACCAACGACCTAAGTACTGCCAGGTGGAAGTGCTAACCATTTAGCCACTGTGCTACCCATAATAGATGAATTCCTGCATCATCGGTTCCATCTAGTGGCTAAAATGCAGTATATTTTTCTTTCTTGCTGCAGAAAACTACACAGCGTATTGGCCGCTGGATGGAACTGATGATACAGGCGTTCACCTCTTATAAAAAAAAAATACGGAACGTTTTGTTCAACTTTCGCGAATGCTTCCGACGTCCATACAAAAATATTTTATAAATAGACCTCCAGTTGACGCAGTGGGCAGATCCTAAATTCTGTAGTAGGTAGCGGCATGTAAGGATGTGGTGCCACTATCTGCAATGCCCTCCTGTGAATCAGGGGCAAGGAGGAACTTAGATGCCCCAGGATCCCATGGAGTGGATTGTATAATGATGGGCATCATTAAACCGGGAAGAGGAGTAACACTGGATCGGCCAGCTGGTGAGTCTTCAGAGGACACCATCAGATGAGTAGATGAGTATAGCGGGTCAAGACATTTTTCTTGTTGAGGGATCTGAATGTAGCCTACCCCCCCCCCCCCCCCCACCAACCTACTAAAGTTCACTTTACCGTTTGCTTCTTCCTTGAAAGTGACCTTAGCAAATACCAGATGCTTCTTGGTATCGAGAAGCATGTGGCCTCCACCCAAGAAGTAGTGTTCCAGCTTGAGCACCTAATTGCTTGAAAAATACCATCTGACGATGAGGATGATGTCATCAATCCTGTGGGAGATCCAACACCACCCAACATCAACTTTAGATATTTTGTTTATGTAGTAATTGGATAGAATGGAGAAGAGATAAAAAAAAAAAAAACGTTTTCCCCTCATTCGATGTCCCTGTATCTCCTGTTGGAGATGTGGATAGAAAAGGCAGCAATTAAAAACATCAACAGAAATGTGTTCTGAGAGGAGAAATCTTCATGAGAGACCTGACAGAGGCTCTGACCCTTTACTGCTCTATTCAAAAGAAAGAGAGATAATGAAAGAGGGGTGAGAGAAATGAAGAGTCCAGAGTGGTGAGGAGGTAAGAGATGGAGAACCCACAGTGATGAAAGTGGGCAGACATGGAGAACCCATAGTGATGAGGGGGGGGAGAGATGGAGAATACATGATGATGAGAGGGGGAGAGATGAAGAACCCATAGTGATGAGGGGGGGAGAGATGAAGAACCCATAGTGATGAGGGGGGGAGAGATGGAGAATACATGATGATGAGAGGGGGAGAGATGAAGAACCCATAGTGATGAGAAGGGGAGAGATGGAGAACCCATAGTGATGAGAGGGAAAGAGATGGAGAACCCATAATGATGAGGGGGGGAGAGATGGAGAACCCATAGTGATGAGAGGGAAAGAGATGGAGAACCCATAATGATGAGAGGGGGAGTGATGGAGAACCCATAGTGATGAGAGGGGGGAGAGATGGAGAAGCCATAGAGATGAGAGAGGGAGAGACAGAGATTCCATAGTGATGAGGGGGACGAGATGGAGAGTCCGGAGTAGTAGAGGGAAAGAGATGGAGAACCCCGAGTGATGAGAGGGGAAAGAGATGGAGAACCCATAGTGATGAGAGGGAGAGAGATGGAGAACCCATAGTGATGAGAGGGGGAAGAGATGGAGAACCCACAGTGATAAAAGGGGGAGAGATGGAGAACCCATGGTGATGAGAGGGTAGAGATGGAGAACCCAGAGTGATAAGAGGGAGAGGGATGGGGATTCTATAGTGATGAGGGAGAAGAGATGGAGAGTCCGGAGTAGTGAGGGGAAAAGAGATAGAGAACTTGGAATGGAGAAGAGGAAAGAAATGGAGAACCCATAGTGATGAGAAGAATCTAGATGGAGAACGCATAGTGATGAGAGGGGGAAGACATGGAGAACTCATAGTGATGAGGGTGGAAGAGATGGAGAACCCAAAGTGATGAGAGGAGAAAGACATCGAGAGCCTGGAGTGGTGAGGGGAAAAGAGATGGAGAACCCATAGTGATGAGGGGGGAATACATGGAGAGCCTGTAGTTTTGAGGTTGGAAGAGATAAAGAACCCATAGTGATGAGAGGGGGAAGAGATGGAAAGCGTGGAGTGGTAACGATGGAAGAGATGGATAACCCATAGTAATGAAGGAGGGAGATATGGACAGCCTGGAGTACAGAAAGGGGGAAGATTTATACAGAAGCCTAACTTAATATTATTATCTTTATTATACATGCAAAGAAAAATACACTATATTGCCAAAGGTATTGGGGCGCCTGCCTTTCCATGTGCATCCCAGTCTTAGTCCGTAGGGTTCAATATTGAGTTGGCCCCGCCCTTTGAGCTATAACAGCTTCAACTCTTCTGGGAAGGCCATCCCACAAGGTTTAGGAGGGTGTCTATGGGAAGGTTGGACCATTCTTCCAGAAGCCCATTTTGTCAGGTCAGCACTGATGTCGGGGGAGGAGGCCTGGCTCGCAGTCTCCGCTCTAATTCATCCCAAAGGTGTTCTATCGGGTTGAGGTCAGGACTCCACGCCAGTCAAGTTCCTCCACCCCAAACTGGCTTTTCCATGTCTTTATGGACCTTGCTTTGTGCACTGGTGCGCAGTCATGTTGGAACAGGAAGGGGTCATCCCCAAACTCTTCCCACAAAGTTGGAAGCATGAAATTGTCAAAAACTTATTGGTATACTGATGCCTTAAGAGTTCCCTTCACTGGAACTAGAGGGCCAAGCCCAACCCTTGAGAAAACAACCCCACACCATAATCCCCCCTACACCAAACTTTACACTTGGCACAGTGCAGTCAGGCAAGTACCGTTGTTCTGGCAACCGCCAAGCCCAGACACGTCCATCGAATTGCCAGACAGAGAAGCGTGATTGGTCACTCCAGAGAACACGTCTCCACTGCTCTAGAGTCCAGTGGCGACCTGCTGGAAGCTCTCTACACACTGTTGTTGTGCTAATCTGAAGGACACAACAAGTTTGGAGGTCTTTAGCTATTGACTCTACAGACAGTTGGCAACTTCTGCGCACTGTGCGCTTCAGCATGCGCTGACCCCGCTCTATCATTTTACGTGGCCTACCACTTTGTGGCTGAGTTGTTGTTGTTCTCAGTGTCTTCAACTTTTTTATAATACCACTAACAGTTAACCTTGGAAAATTTAATAGCCAGGAAATGTCACGGATGGACTTATTGCACAGGTGACCACCTATCACAGTACCACGCTTGGAATCACTGAGCTCCTGAGAACAACCCATTCTTTCACAAATGTTTCAGGTCTTCAAGTCGACCCTCACATGGAGTCTGCAATGGAATGAGAGCCAAGCCAAATCTTGAAAATTCAAAAGGATTGTCTCCAAATTGGTCAAACATAAGGCCTCCTTCATAACAGGGCTTGGCCAATCTTTCAAGGCTGTTGGCTCACTAAAATCCACAATTCTCTTCTCCAGGGCTTTCCTAGGACAGGACCTAATTTCCTCCAACGTCACTCACCACTGCTAAAACATTTTAAGGCATGGGCAGCATAAGTCAGGAGCTTACCATGTTGTAGCCTCAAACGTTTCTCTGGCCCACCACTTTCCCAGCCCCACAGAAAAAGCTTAAACCAGGACTGAATGCCAATCCAGCCAAGTGATTCCTCTGCAAAAGCAGGTTACCAAGTTTTTGTCTCAAGAACATCAAAGAAAAGATAGCTGCTCAGTTACCCATACCTAAACCACCCATCCACCGCTGGAAAAAACAACTATAAACCTTCACAAAATACAAACATAACTGGCATACAAGAAAACCCGGAGCAGGTAAGTTTTATTCAGGCCAGCCTGTTCCTCGAGGACAATTGCCAACCCATCCAGCTTGCAACCTTTGCACCGGCATCTTGTAGCCTGCTCTTCCAATTTGCATGACCACATTCATCAGGGCCAAACTTGATGCCCAAGATTTTAATTTTTTCTTCTGGGGCTCTGGGAAGCTGTCCAGAAGGTCAAACCCATTTCCTTCCTCACCCATTCAGAAAATGTTACTCTTTTCCAGGTTCTTCAGCTGATCTTCAAGGTCTCTGTATGCTGCTTCATCACTGAGACCACCTCCTGGACCTCCTCTGTCCCAGAAATGAATAAAGAAATATCATTAGCACAAGTCACAGCCCTCAAAAGAACATAAACAACAATACCAAATGGTACCCCACATGAAAGATATGGAGACACACACCAAAGATAAGGAGAGATCGGAGTGATGAGGAGAAAGAGATGGAGAGATCAGAGCGATGAGGAGGGAAGAGATGGAGAGACTGCAATGATGAGGAGAGAAGAGATCGGAGTGATGAGGAGGAAGAGATGGAGAGATCAGAGCAATGAGGAGGGAAGAGATGGAGAGATCGGAGCGATGAGGAGGGAAGAGATGGAGAGATCAGAGCGATGAGGAGGAAGAGATGGAGACATCGGAGCGATGAGGAGGAAGAGATGGAGAGATTGGAGCAATTAGGAGGGAAGAGATGGAGACATCAGAGCGATGAGGAGGGAAGAGATGGAGACATCAGAGCGATGAGGAGGGAAGAGATGGAGACATCAGAGCGATGAGGAGGAAAGAGATGGAGAGATCGGAGCGATGAGGGGGAAAGAGATGGAGAGATCGGAGCGATGAGGAGGAAGGAGATGGAGAGATCGGAGCGATGAGGAGGGAAGAGATGGAAAGATCGAAGAGATGAGGAGGGTAGAGATCAGAGCGATGATGGACGGAAGAGATGGAGAGATCGGAGCGATGAGGAGGAAGGAGATGGAGAGATTGGAGCGATGAGGAGGGTAGAGATGGAGAGAGATCAGAGCGATGAGGAGGGTAGAGATGGAGAGATCGAAGAGATGAGGAGGGTAGAGATGGAGAGATCAGAGCGATGAGGAGGGTAGAGATGGAGAGATCAGAGCGATGAGAAGGGAAGAGATGGAGATTATTGGAGCGATGAGGAGGGAAGAGATGGAGAGATCGGAGCGATGAGGAGGGAAGAGATGGAGAGATCGGAGCGATGAGGAGGGAAGAGATGGAGAGATCGGAGCGATGAGGACGGAAGAGATGGAGAGATCGGAGCGATGAGGAGGAAGGAGATGGAGAGATTGGAGCGATGAGGAGGGAAGAGATGGAAAGATCGAAGAGATGAGGAGGGTAGAGATGGAGAGATCAGAGCGATGAGGAGGGTAGAGAGATGGGAGAGATCAGAGCGATGAGAAGGGAAGAGATGGAGATTATTGGAGCGATGAGGAGGGAAGAGATGGAGAGATCGGAGCGATGAGGAGGGAAGAGATGGAGAGGGAGCGATGAGGAGGAGGGAAGAAGAGATGGAGAGAGGAGCGAGGAGGAGGGAAGAGATGGAGAGATCGGAGCGATGAGGAGGGAGAGAAGGGAGAGATCGGAGGATGAGGACGGAAGAGATGGAGAGATCGGAGCGATGAGGAGGAAGGAGATGGAGAGATTGGAGCGATGAGGAGGGAAGAGATGGAAAGATCGAAGAGATGAGGAGGGGTAGAGATGGAGAGATCAGAGCGATGAGGAGGGTAGAGATGGAGAGATCAGAGCGATGAGAGAAGAGGGAAGAGATGGAGATTATTGGAGCGATGAGGAGGGAAGAGATGGAGAGATCGGAGCGAAAGGAGGGAAGAGATGGAGAGATCGGAGAAGGATGAGGAGGGAAGAGATGGAGATTATTGGAGCGAAGAAGAGAGTGAGAGAGGAGGGATCAGAGGGATGAGAAGGGAAGAGATGAAGAGATCGAGCGATGAGGAGGAAGAAATGGAGAGACGAGGAGGGAAGAGATGGAGATTATTGGAGCCATGAGGAGGAAGATATGGAGAGAACTGAGCGATGAGGAGGGAAGAGATGGAGAGATCGGAGCGTTGAGGAGGGGAGAGATCGGAGGGAGGAGAAGGGATGGAGAGATGGAGAGAGGAGGAGAGCGTTGAGGGGGGAAGAGATCAGAGAAATGAGGAGGGATGAAAAGGGTAGAGATGGAGAGATCGGAGCGATGAGGAGGGAAGAGATCGGAGAGATGAGGAGGGAAGAAATGGAGAGAACGGAGATGAGGGGGGGGGGAAGAGATGGAGAGATCGGAGCGTTGAGGGGGGAAGAGATGGAGAGATCGGAAAGATGAGGAGGGGAGAGATCGGAGGGATGAGAAGGGAAGAGATGGAGAGATCGGAGCGATGAGGGGGAAGAGATCGGAGAGATGAGGAGGGATGAAAAGGGAAGAGATGGAGAGATCGGAGAGATGAAAAGGGAAGAGATGGAGAGATCGGAGCGATGAGGAGGGAAGAGATGGAGAGAACGGAGGGATGAGGAGGAAAGAGATCGGAGAGATGAGGAGGGAAGAGATCGGAGAGATGAGGAGGGAAGAGAGGGAGAGATCGGAGCGATGATGGGGGAAGAGATGGAGAGATCGGAGAGATGAGAAGGGAAGAGATGGAGACATCAGAGCGATGAGGGGCAAGAGACGGGGAAATCGGAGCGATGATGGGGGAAGAGACGGAGAGATCGGAGAGATGAGAAGGGAAAGAAGAGATGGAGACATCAGAGCGATGAGGGGCAAGAGACGGGGAAATCGGAGCGATGATGGGGGAAGAGACGGAGAGATCGGAGAGATGATGGGGAAGAGACGAAGAGACGGGTACTAGATGAGGGGGGAAGAGACGGAGAGATCGGAGCGATGATGGGGGAAGAGATTGAGAGATCGGAGCGATGATGGGGGAAGAGATGGAGAGCGATGAGGAGGAAAAGATCGGAGCGATGATGGGGGTGGAGTTAAGCCCCTCTGCACTCTGACAGCTCTCTGGTACCCGCTCAGCTTCCCGTTGCTAGGGACCCGGACCCGCCCCTTTAATGACGCCGGAGCCGGTTGCCAGGGAAGAGAGCGGAGCGGAGCCAGTCGCGCATATCTGACGTCAGTTCCGGTATCTATTGGTAACGTGTCCTAACCGGCGAACCGCGATCAGCACATAGAAGAACGGGACATGGCGGAGCTGGAACCCTCCGCTCTACACAATGACAGCGCTGAGGTGCCCGGGAACGGCACGGCCAAACTGCTGAGTTCCCCCGGAGGGCACCGCGCTGGCCTATGGCAGCCTGCTGGGGATGGCTCTGCTCCCCATCTTCTTCGGGGCTATGAGGAGTGTCAGCTGTGCCCGGGGGAAGGTGAGGGGGAGGGGGGCTCTGATCACCCCTCTGTACAATGTATCACGTGTTATCCCTCTGCATATGTCATGTATGATCTCCCCGTACATGTCTCCATATCACATGTATAGTAATGTAAGGTCAGTTTTGGTTGGAGTTCTCCTTTATAACCCTGCACTGCTTTTCCCCCCCCAGAATTCCTCAGACATGCCGGAGACCATCACCAGTCGGGACGCGGCTCGCTTTCCCATCATCGCCAGTTGTACACTTTTTGGACTTTACATCTTTTTTAAGGTGAGTTTTCTGGGGTGTTCTCCCCCTCCCTGGAGTATTAGGAATGTTGTTGCCCTGTCTTGGAGGATCTGGGGTGTCTGCCCCCCCCTTGGAGGATCTGGGGGTGTCTGCCCCCCCCCCTTGGAGGATCTGGGGTGTCTGCCCCCCCCCCCTTGGAGGATCTGGGGTGTCTGCCCCCCCCCCTTGGAGGATCTGGGGTGTCTGCCCCCCCCCTTGGAGGATCTGGGGTGTCTGCCCCCCCCTTGGAGAATCTGGGGTTTCTGTCCCCCCCTTGGAGAATCTGGGGTTTCTGTCCCCCCTTGGAGAATCTGGGGTTTCTGTCCCCCCCTTGGAGAATCTGGGGTTTCTGTCCCCCCCTTGGAGGATCTGGGGTGTCTGTCCCCCCCGACTTGAAGGATCTGGGGTGTCTGTCCCCCCCCCTTGGAGGATCTGGGGTTTCTGTCCCCCCCCTTGGAGGATCTGGGGTTTCTGTCGTCCGTCCCCCCCCCTTTGGAGGATCTGGGGTTTCTGTCGTCATCCCCCCCTTGGAGGATCTGGGGTTTCTGTCGTCATCCCCCCCTTGGAGGATCTGGGGTTTCTGTCGTCATCCCCCCCTTGGAGGATCTGGGGTTTCTGTCGTCATCCCCCCCTTGGAGGATCTGGGGTTTCTGTCGTCATCCCCCCCTTGGAGGATCTGGGGTTTCTGTCGTCGTCCCCCCCTTGGAGGATCTGGGGTTTCTGTCGTCGTCGTCCCCCTTGGAGGATCTGGGGTTTCTGTCGTCGTCCCCCCCCCCCCCCCTTGGAGGATCTGGGGTTTCTGTCGTTGTCCCCTTGGAGGATCTGGGGTGTCGTTCCCCCCCCCCCCCCTTGGAGGATCTGGGGTGTCGTTCCCCCCCCCCCTTGGAGGATCTGGGGTGTCGTTCCCCCCCCCCCTTGGAGGATCTGGGGTGTCGTTCCCCCCCCCCCCCTTGGAGGATCCGGGGTGTCTGTCGTTCTCCCCCCCCCTTGGAGGATCCGGGGTGTCTGTCGTTCTCCCCCCCCTTGGAGGATCCGGGGTGTCTGTCGTTCTCCCCCCCCCCCCCCTTGGAGGATCTGTGGTGTCTGTCGTTCTCCCCCCCCCTCGGAGGATCTGTGGTGTCTGTCGTTCTCCCCCCCCTTGGAGGATCTGTGGTGTCTGTCGTTCCCCCCCTTGGAGGATCTGTGGTGTCTGTCGTTCGTCCCCCCCCCCCCCCCTTGGAGGATCTGTGGTGTCTGTCGTTCCCCCCCCCCCCCCCTTGGAGGATCTGTGGTGTCTGTCGTTTCCCGCCCCCCCTTGGAGGATCTTTGGTGTCTGTCGTTCCCCCCCCCCCCCCCCCCCCCCCCCCCCTTGGAGGATCTGTGGTGTCTGTCGTTCCCCCCCCCCCCCTTGGAGGATCTGTGGTGTCTGTCCCCCCCCCCCCCCCCCCCCCCCCCCTGGAGGATCTGTGGTGTCTGTCGTTCCCCCCCCCTGGAGGATCTGTGGTGTCTGTCGTTCCCCCCCCCCCCCTTGGAGGATCTGTGGTGTCTGTCGTTCCCCCCCCCCCTTGGAGGATCTGTGGTGTCTGTCGTTCCCCCCCTTGGAGGATCTGTGGTGTCTGTCGTTCCCCCCCTTGGAGGATCTGTGGTGTCTGTCGTTCCCCCCCCTTGGAGGAAATGGGGTGTCTGCCCCCCCCTTGGAGGGAAATGGGGTGTCTGCCCCCCCCCTTTGAGGAAGTGGGGTGTCTGGCCCCCCCCCCTTGGAGGGTGTCTGGGGGAGGTCTGGTCTGCCCCCCCCTTGGAGGATCTGGGGTGTCTGCCCCCCCCTTGGAGGATCTGGGGTGTCTGCCCCCCCTTGGAGGATCTGGGGTGTCTGTCGTCTCCCCCCCCCCCTTGGAGGATCTGGGGTGTCTGTCGTCTCCCCCCCCCCCTTGGAGGATCTGGGGTGTCTGTCGTCTCCCCCCCCCCCTTGGAGGATCTGGGGTGTCTGTCGTCTCCCCCCCCCCCCTTGGAGGATCTGGGGTGTCTGTCGTCTCCCCCCCCCCTTGGAGGATCTGGGGTGTCTGTCGTCTCCCCCCCCCCTTGGAGGATCTGGGGTGTCTGTCGTCTCCCCCCCCCTTGGAGGATCTGGGGGGTGTCTGTCGTCTCCCCCCCCCCTTGGAGGATCTGGGGTGTCTGTCGTCTCTCCCCCCCCCCTTGGAGGATCTGGGGTTTCTGTCCCATTCCCCCCCCCCCCTTGGAGGATCTGGGGTGTCTGTCCCATCCCCCCCCCCTTGGAGGATCTGGGGTGTCTGTCCCATCCCCCCCCCTTGGAGGATCTGGGGTGTCTGTCCCCATCTTGGAGGATCTGGGGTGTCTGTCCCATCCCCCCCCCCCCTTGGAGGATCTGGGGTGTCTGTCCCATCCCCCCCCCCCCTTGGAGGATCTGGGGTGTCTGTCCCATCTCCCCCCCCCCCCCCTTGGAGGATCTGGGGTGTCTGTCCCATCCCCCCCCCCCCTTGGAGGATCTGGGGTGTCTGTCCCATCCCCCCCCCCCCTTGGAGGATCTGGGGTGTCTGTCCCATCCCCCCCCCCTTGGAGGATCTGGGGTGTCTGTCCCATCCCCCCCCCTTGGAGGATCTGGGGTGTCTGTCCCATCCCCCCCCCTTGGAGGATCTGGGGTGTCTGTCCCATCCCCCCCCCCTTGGAGGATCTGGGGTGTCTGTCCCATTCCCCCCCCCCCCTTGGAGGATCTGGGGTGTCTGTCCCATCCCCCCCCCCTTGGAGGATCTGGAGTTTCTCCCTCCCCCCCCGGAGGATCTGGGGTTTCTTCCCCCCCCCCCCCCCCCCCCCGGAGGATCTGGGGTGTCTTCCCCCTTCCACCCCCTTGGAGGATCTGGGGTGTCTTTCTCACCCCCTCTGGGGTGTAGTTTTTCCCCTTCATTGCTGATTAGCCTCTTCAGTTCCTGAAGATTTACCCCCTCACCCTCCTTGCCCAGGCTATTGTTTGTGATATAGCGCTGCAATATTTTAACTGACTATTGCGCGGTCGTGCAACACTGTACACAAATTACTTTTTTCCCCACAAATAGAGCTGTCTTTTTGTGGTAGTTGATCACCTCTGTGATTTTTACTTTTTTGCTTTATAAACAAAAAAACCGACTGACAATTTTGAAAAAAAACCCTGTTTTTTATTTTCTAATATAAAACCTATCCAACATAAAATATTTTAAAAATCAAATTTGTTTATAAATTTAGCCCAAAATGTATTCTGCTACATGTCTTTGGGAAAAAAAATCCTGATAAGCGTACATTCATTAATTTCTGCAAACGTTCTAGCGCAGGGGTGGGCAAACTTTTTGACTTGAGGGCCGCAATGGGTTCATATATTGGACCCGGGGGCCGGACCAAGAGTAGATGAATGATGTGTATGTGTCATCCATAGTAAGTATAGTAATATTCCCCCATAGTAAGCATAGTAATTAATCCCCCATATAGTAATTCATCCCCCCTATAGTAATTCATCCCCCCTATAGTAATTCATCCCCCCTATAGTAATTCATCCCCCCTATAGTAATTCATCCCCCCTATAGTAATTCATCCCCCATATAGTAATTCATCCCCCATATAGTAATTCACCCCCCATATAGTAATTCACCCCCCATATAGTAATTCACCCCCCTATAGTAATTCATCCCCCCTATAGCAATTCATCCCCCCTATAGCAATTCATCCCCCATATAGTAATTCATCCCCCATATTAAGTCCCCAAGTCCCCCCTGTGTCAATTCACTTACCTTTGTTCCGCGAGTTCCTCTCGCCGTTCCGGTGTGTAGCATGAAAATCTGTCTCCTATGAGGATCTGTCCCCCTCGACGTATCTGCGCATGTGCCAGTTTCAGGCATTAGCAGCCGATCCGCGATCTCCGGCACATGCGCAGATACGTCGAGGGGGACAGATCCTCATAGCAGACAGATTTTCATTCAGGGCGGACTGTGAGAGGAGCCTAGCGGGAGCTTAGCTCCGCCGGGCCGGATTAAAAGGTCCGCCGGGCCGGATTAAAAGGTCCGCCGGGCCGTAGTTTGCCCATTGCTGTTCTAGCATCTACAAACTATGGGACATATACTGGATTTTTTTTTTTTGTAATACTAGTAATGGCGGCGATCAGCGACTGCGATATTGCGGCGGACATTTTTACACTGACTTTGTGGGAACCAGTGACACTAATACAGTGATCAGTGCTAAAACCTTACGCTGATTGCTGTACTAATGACACTGGCTGGGAAGGGAGTTATTAAAGGGTTAAGTGTGTGCTTAGCTATGTGCTTGGTGTACACTAGGTGGTGCTGGCACAAGGGGAAGCAATGGATCCTGTTCCTAGCTCTTCTCTGACACATGATCGATCACTCCCCCCTGGCAGAACAGAACTCTGCCTATGTAAATAGAGGCAGAGCTCTGTTCTTCATCCCTGCCTGACGATCTGTGGGTGCTGGCAGACATTCGTTCGTCACGACTCGCATACTCGTATTTGTCGCTCCATAAGACGCACCTAGGTTTTAGAGGCAGAAGACAGGAAAAAAAAATTCTGAACTAATGGACTGCAGACACAGTACAGGAGATGACCAGAGACTGTGGCCACAGTACAGGAGATGACCAGAGACTGTGGCCACAGTACAGGAGATGACAAGAGACTGCGGCCACAGTACAGGAGATGACAAGAGACTGCGGACACAGTGCAGGAGATGACCAGAGACTGCGGACACAGTGCAGGAGATGACCAGAGACTGCGGACACAGTGCAGGAGATGACCAGAGACTGCGGACACAGTGCAGGAGATGACCAGAGACTGCGGACACAGTGCAGGAGATGACCAGAGACTGCGGACACAGTGCAGGAGATGACCAGAGACTGCGGACACAGTGCAGGAGATGACCAGAGACTGCGGACACAGTGCAGGAGATGACCAGAGACTGCGGACACAGTGCAGGGAGATGACCAGAGACTGCGGACACAGTGCAGGAGATGACCAGAGACTGCGGACACAGTGC